CTACTCACTAATGATGGGTGAGTTGGAAAACACACCCACCTCGTCACAATTGCCACTTACATGCTCAGAAAGTGCATGTCACCATACTCGGTACCTGAATGCCAATTTGGGTGTGTTTATGGCCTCTGGGCTGTGAGCAAATCCACATCTGAGCGGCAGCCCGGGACTAGGCACTGGGTGGGCAGTGTAACCCTGTGCGCATTTGGACGCTGTTGTTTTTTACCAGCATACCATCCCGGCGTGGGAACACGGGCAGTGATTTTGTTGGCTACGTCCCCTGCACAACAACTACTTCATGATGAATCAGGCAGAGCGCCAAGACAAGCCTGGCACCGATGTGGCTTCGTGTGCACAGACTCGATGCCCCTTGTTTCCCTCGTCACACCCACGGAGAGTTTGCTTGCGGGTCAGCGGGTGCTGCCTGGGGCAGGGCAGCGAGGCTGCTGTTCGGAGCTGGGTGTTTCCTGACACACGGTGCCTGGCGGACACTCACGGACTCTCTGTGACCGTGGACTCGGCTGACGTGGCTGACTCCCTCGTCCCCTTTTACTGGCAGACTCAGCGGTGAGCTCATCAGCCATTGCTCCTCAGAAACATGTTCTTGGAAGTCACACACGCTCTGAGTCACGCCGCCTGTCCCTCGCCCGGACAGTGCCATGCTGGGCAGGTTGCTCGGCCCGGGGCTTCCGGGGGGCAGGGGCGGAGGGCTCAGCATCAAGGAGCGCGGCGGGTGGGGGGTCCCCCATGGCCACGCAGAGGGAGGCAGCTCTCAGCGCTCTGCGTGCACAGGTGGAAAACCCACAGGCGGCCGCATGGGGGCAGGTGGATAGTGGGGGTGGTGGGGGGATGCACCCCTGCTTGTTCTAACCCCAAATCTCCATGGTGGTGCCTCTGCATATAATGCTGACTGACCTGATGGGGTGTCATTAACCCCCTACGTTGTTCCTGCACAAACCGAAGGAGGCAAAAAGCACACACACACCCTTTTCCTCGGGGGGCGGGGGGGGGAGGGTCCCAGATACCAAGACAAAAAGTAAAATCCAGAACGTTTAATACATGAAGGAAGACAGCTACGACCCGGGGCAGCGAGCGATAAGCGGCGGAGGGATGCA